TTCGCGGCTCATCTGTAATCGATAGAGCAGCGCAATGCCTCGACTCCCTCCTCTTCTTCCTACACGTGAGCAGAGCAGGGACCCCGACTTGTCTTCCTCTTCTCCTACGCACGGCTCGTCATGTGTAGCTCCTCTTCCTCTGTTATGCGAGCACAATGTCGAAGGTCACACCTCCTCCCTTCCTCCTCGACTTCGACTCAACCCAAAGCAAGTTGTCATGCCCCCTTCCTTCTCACGGCTCAATCCAGGGCAATGTACGACACCACTGCCACCCCTTCCTCCGCAATCAAGCGCAACACGAATCTGGTATGGCACGAAACCCCTTTTTTTCTTCATCCTATTCGACTAGAGTCGAGTAGGACACAATAACTTCTCTCTCAATCTCTCCCACTATTCCTTACCCTCGAGTGCTCATGCCATGGTTAGAATGGTGCAATACGACTCTTAAGTCATAGTCGGACAGGTGCTTATCTTAGTGCATATTCAAGTACTCCTACGATGGTTAGAATGGTGTAATACGACTTTTAAGTCGTAGCCGAACAGGAGCTTATCAAAGTGCCTATTCGAGTTATTATTTTATAATAATATAATTTTTCTGTTATTTCACCACCTCCTGGACTGGCACCCGGAACCAATGGGGGAGCGTAAGCACCCAATAGAAGCCTCTGGAACCAAGCGCCAAAAAACCCAACGCCCAGAAGCGGCACAGCTAAGCTTAGACTGTTCCCTGTAACAATGTTCCTGGAAACCCAGTGCTTGGGGGTGGTGCCTGTAATTGAGATCATGCAATTCAAAATTTTATATTTTGTCCTTTGATGCAGGGAAAGAGCAAAGTGCATCTTGTGCGTTGGAGTTGAATTTCGCAAGTTCACTAGTGTGAAAGAGAAACATCTCAGAGTGTTCCAAGTTATAAACATGCTTAAGTGTGGTGTAATATATACATTTCACATCATTTCTTCATACTGAATTTCTTGGTGTAGTGAGACTCTGTGATTTTTTTTTGTTTTTGGGTACACTTAAATCTTGGTGTTCTGACATTTTTCTATAATTCTTGTGTTACTCGTTTATGTTTAAAATTTTATTTCGGATCTTTCGAATCTATATTTCACATTTCATAGTAATTTAATCTCCGGTCATAACAAGTGGTATAAGAGCAGGATTTTCTAAAAATCAAAAGAAATTCAATGATTCCACTATTATGCAAATTATACTAGGTACAAGGTGAAGAAATTCAATGATTCGAATGTTGCTTTCGGAAAAATGCAAATTAAAGTTTTATTATATCAAAAGAAACTATATTTATCATTGGAAGGAATCATCAAGAAGTCAGATCTAGAATAATAGGAAGTTTTAGATCGAACAGTCTTAGATTTGATCTGACTTTCACATTCATCAACTATTGCTTTCAATATTCTGAGTGAGAAAACTACTGTTAATCTCATGGATGCACTAACAAGGATATATGAGAAGACATCGACTTCAAATAAAATTTTTCTGATGAAGAAATTGTTCAATATAAAAATAGTGGACAATAGTTCGGTACTGAACATTTGAATAAATTCAATATATGACTAATCAATTTTGTTTTGTTAGCATCAAGTTCAATGACAAGAACATGACACTGTTACTTTAATTCTCTTCATTAACAGACAGTTGGGATGGACTAGTCACTGTGGTGAGTAGCTCTTTAGGTAACATGATTTTAAAAATTAATGACATTGTGGGGTCGGTGATGAACGAAGAAGTTTGCAAGAAAGAGAGCAATAAAACTTCAAATTATACTCTAAATGTTGAAAATAAAAGAAATCTGAATAGGAACACAATCAGGGAAAAATTCAATTCCAAAAGAGGAAAGTCCATGTCAGGGAGAGAAAAAGGTAGAGGTGAATGCTAGAACCAAGAGTAGAAAATTTATTCTAAGAAAGGCTGCAAAGCTCCTAAGAATGTTAGTAGTGGATGTCCAAATACAAAACTATTTCCAAATTGTCTCCATTGATAAAAATTTAAGGTCAATCTCTAATTTTATCCCTAGATATTCAATATTAAATCGTAGATTCAGAAGTCTCTTTCATGTTTTCCCCCGCAAAAAGGTGTTTAAAAACAACACTCAAAGTGATCTAGGAAAGGTATATTTGAGAGATAGTAAGGCATGCAATATTATTGAAAATGGAGATGTTGATGTCAGGTTATCAAATGGTTAGGTCTGGAAGCTTCAATGAAGTTAGACGCGTTCCATGTTTAAAGAGAAATATGATTTACGTGAGACAGCTTGCAAAGTCAAAGTATGTGACTATTTTCACAAATAATTTGTGAAATGTAACAAGCGGGGCAATGGTGATGGCTCGAGGCAACATTAAAGGCACCATTTACCTAATCAATGAGATATCTGAATCCATTGGTGTAGCAGGAATAAAAGCTAATGTATGTTTCTAACACAGCAGGCTTAACAATATAATTGATACTTTATATAAATAAGCGTTGCATGTTGAAACTTGTTCTGAAGAAGTTTTAGCAAAATAAAAGAGCGAACTAAACTGAGATATTTTCCCCTATAATAAAAATAACAATCAGAATTGTTTTGAGCATAGCAGCAGATGAAGATTACGTCTATAGCAGAAAGATGTGAGGGCAGTCTTCCAATATGGTGACATATAATAGCAATAGTATATGGTGCAACCACGAGGATATAAAGTTTTAGGAAACAATGTGGTTTGCAAACTGAAGAAGAGTTTTTATGAGTTTAAGCATGCACCAAGATAGTGTTACAAGAGATTTGACTAGTTTATGTCAGACAGTCGGTACATAAAATGTTATGCAGATCATTATCACTTCATTAAGTAATTTGATAGTTTTTATATTATGCTTCTTTGCACGCAGATGACGTGTTGATTGTATAAGTAGATATGAAGAACAGGGACTTGAAACAGCAATCATAAAGGGAGATTGAAATGAATAATTTAAGTTCAACCAAGAAAATCCACGGTATTAGAATCAAGAAAAACTAGAGTGCACGTACTTTGAAGTTGTCAGACAAAATATGTTGAGGTCTTATACATATTCAACATGAGGCAAAACCAGTTTACACACCTTAGCTAGTCACTTAAAACTAACTAAGAAATAATCGCCCAAATTTGATTCAAAGCAAGCACAGTTGAGAATAACACCATATGTTTCAGTTGTTGGAAGTTTAATGTATACGATGAAATGTATAAAGTCAGATATTGCACATGTAATGACAATGGTCAGCAAGTATATGAGTACTCTAAGTAAATATCATTTGAAGAAGGTGAAGTGGATTCTCAAATACTTTAGAGAAACTAACAACAAGATACTTTATTTTGGAAGTGCAGAAATTAATCTACAGTGATAAGTAGATTTAAATCTAACAGGAGATATTGATAGTAGAAGAGTGCAATAGGTTACATCTTCACTTTGGGGAACACAACAGTGACTTGGGTTTCAAGATTATAGAAGATTGTTGCATTGTCGATTACAAAAGCTGAGTATATTGTTATCAATGAATCTAGCAAGAAAATGATTTGGCCACAAGACTTTATAGCAGAACTGAGCAAGAATTCAGGGAATTAAAAAATTTACAATGACAGCATGAGTATCATTCATTTAGCTAAGAATGTCACATTTATGTCAGGACGAAACACATCCAGCTAAGGTATCACTTCATTCATTCACTCCTAAAAGATGTTCAATCATATTTTTGGAAGATACACGGCTCAAAATTTTGTAGATATGTTGACTAAGACTGTTACAATTGAAAAACTAAAAGCTATGTTAGGCTTCAGTTGGAGTTCAGGAAAATGGAGTTTGGGTTTGAGTCACACTACAGTACATTACTATGAAGATGATATAGATCTGGAGGACATGCATTCATTGTAATCAGTCTCCAAGTGGAAAATTGTTATTGTGGAGCCTAATTGGGGTGTTCATAGCACATCTAAGTGTAGCAATAACAATGAGCAACTATTTGCACTAGGAGAAATAATGCACCACTTTCACTATGGCTACATTGATTGTGGACTTCGCTCTGAGAGAATAGACAGATTTGCCAAATTGACACAAGAAATATCAGAAGCATGTTAAGAAATATTAAGCAAAACACCAAGTAAAAGAAGCATGTCAACAAATCCAAGAAATTTATGATCTTCAAGAAAGATAATTTGGTGTGGATTATATATAAGGAAAGCTCTTCTACGCTTTTATTTGAAAAACTCAAACCTAGAGTTGATGGACCATTCAGAATTGTCAAGAGGGTTATCAACTACACCTATAAGAATGATTCGCCTAGAAACTATACTATTTATGTTACATTTAACGTTACTGGCTTGTCGTTGTTTTACGAGGATGCAGATATTTCCAATAAAAAATGCAAAGCCTCTAATATCAAGGGAGAGTAATGTGGGAGTGGGCTCCTACCATCTACCACGCATGCGGTATTGAACATGGAATAGGATTCCCATCTCATGAAGAGTTTAGCAAGAATCCCCCACCTATTGTGGCCATCAGATGCAGACCTTATTTTCCATTATTTTTAATTAGAATTAGAATTTAATTGATATTTTAGTATAAGTGTGCTACTTAGAACCTGTTTTTATGACTTTTGGCTTAGGCTTATGCATTTATAGATTGTGTTCTCTGAATTTTTATCTTAAGTGTTATAACATCTTTCTTTTCCAAGTGGTGTGTCTGTAACTTTTTAAAAATATAGGTGGCGGATCTCTCTCAGCAATCATGCCTCATTGAAACCAACATTTCATGATTCTCTATGTTGTTTTCAATCTGATCAGTCGTCAAACTTTTCTATCCCCTTCCAAACTCCATCAACCTCGTGCATTATCATTCTATTATCTGATCCTTAAACAGGTACTAGGAACCCTAGAATAGTGCACCAGCCCTCCCTCAAAAATTGAATTTGCAAAACCATTCAAAAATTAGTAAAAACCAAAGCCAAGGGAAAATTGAGTTGAATGAGGAAAAGAACATACTGGATCAATTCGGTTTGAACCGGTACATCATCAAGTTGACATCTCAATGAAAAATTTTCCTTCGTTTTAGCTGCAAATTCCTGGCAAGTACACAAAATATTGGCCTGCTTAAGGAAATAGAATAAAATATCTTCATGATATGTACTCAAGCTAAACAACAAACAATATACCAAACCGAATAATTCTACAATTAATAAATGATATTATGGCAAAAATAAAAGGTTTGAAAGTAGTATACAAAGGAGAATTCCATAAGGATGATTGCCATTTTGAGAACTTGACAATATCATCATAAGACAAAGGTTATACATTAAGATGAAGAGTTTGACAAGGAGGCAACATGCAATCCAAACTCCTGAAACTGCAAAAAATAAATAGCACAATAAAGTTAAATATCAGTGCCAATGATAGAGGGTTTAGCATAAAGTATAGAAGATGGAGAGGAAATTATACTGCTTAAGATGAAGACAAAGTATAAGGCAGTGCAATAGCATAAACAAAGAATAGATTAGCAGGAGTACTTGTTGCCCGTAACAACAAGCATGCAACTAGCAATAACTGGATATGGACGAGACACTACAATCACTCAAAGAATAAATGGGACTCAAACAAGATGTGCCTGTATTGCAGTGATCGCAAAGCCAAACGCAAGAGACATTGGAACAAGGACAAAAAAATATAATAGCAATGATTGTGAGAGAGTGTGAGAACTGGAGAGAGCGCGAGCGTTGGAGTAGAACAAGACGCAGTTGAAGATGCATTAGAAATAGTGATGGCGCCGTTAATGGAGGAAGCATGAAGATTATGCCGGAATGGGCAAGTTGCCAAGGTTTTCTACTCTAATACATATTGAGAGGCATTGAAAGGAAAACAAATTATGGCATATTATAAATTTGTAACAAGGTCTATGAATAGGTATATAAGTAGAACTATAACTTCCAATGACAAGAATATTTTTTCTTTTACCATAATCTCTTCTCATTATAAAGGGTCTACATAACACCTACCAAAAATGACAACAATCATAATGCACAATTATAGATTTCCTACATGTTACTTACATGGAACTAAAAAATGCATGATGCTAATTAGAAGCACTGAATGCACCTAACGATCACTCAAGTGAAGTAAATCAACGCAATACTAGCTTAAGTCACCACCGCGTTGGATATATAGACCTAGTGCTCCTAAATAATTATGCCCAGATTCAGGAACTCACATGCATGGCTTAAAAACAAACATACATTGTGAGAAAAAAAAATGAATAGTCTAAATAATTAAACTATAAATATTGTGAAAATGCAGTAAAATCAGCTGAACTTTAAATGATATTTAGTCAAGAACTCAAGGCATATAATTGGATAATTATTTAGATCCAAAGCATCCTCAAAAATTGTTCATGACACTAGCTGTGTCTCACAACCCACAATCCGCACAAAGCCTATTCTACATAGATTACTTCAAGATAATTTCCAAATCATGTCAAAAACTTTATCCCATGTATGTGAGGTTGGGATCAGAAGAGTTTTTCATTTTAATTTATTCAAAATAAGGGACTAATGTTGAGTTACAACTTAAGAAACAAGAAAAGGTGAACAGTATAAGGTTCTTTAACTAAATTTGTGTGCTGATATCATTTACATGCGCCATACTTATAAATGTTCGGTTTAGGATTGATTTAGATGTTTAGTATTTTTTTCTCGTACAACAATCATTAGCTTCTGTAAAGGACTATCTTTATTAGGGTTGAGCCTAAAGTTCTACATGATGCCTGCAAAAAACTTTTTCATGGGGAATTGATCGAATGAAAAGTTCAACATTAACACTGCAGTTTGAGAAGTTCCATATTTGACAGACTTTCAACATTATAGGAGTTTCTTTAAAAGCTCAACTAGCATCCAAATAATAAATATTCTTTATTCTTGGAATGATTCCAATAAACTCCCACTAACCTCATCAAATTTTCCCCCTCCTCTTATCCTCTTGCACCAGTTTGGTATTAGAGAACTTCTGATACGAACAATTTTAATTGACGCGTGTTAGGTACTTCAGCCTAAATATATTGTGCCAGAAAAAATTCTGATAAGAACAATTATAATTGATGTGTGTTAGGGACTTCAGCCCTAAATATGTTGAGCCAAAAAAAAATATTACTTTTATACCTAAAATCATAGTTAAGAGGAGTTGATGTCATTGGAAAATTTTAAGTAATTTATACAACAACAACAACAATGACAACAACAAAGCCTTAATCTCATTATGTGGGGTAGGCTACATGAATCTTTTTTCTCTATTGCGTCCTATTTAGTGTCATATTTTCATTTAGTTCAAATAAATTAAAATCATTTTTTATACAATAAGCCCAAGTCTTCCTAGGTCTACCTCTACCTTTCTTAACAAAAGTCGAATCTAAATCATCTGCTCTCCTAATCAGACCATCAGATGGTCGACGTTTAATGTGACCAAACCATCTAAAACGAATCTCTCTAATTTTGCCCATCATTGGAGCTACATCAACCCTATCACGGATATATTAAATTCTCATTTTGTCTCTAATTGTAAAGTCACTCATCCACCTAATCATTCTCATCTCGGCAACACTTAACTTATATTATGCTTCTCTTTTAAAGGCCAACATTCAGCGCCATAGAGCATTGCAGGTCACACCACCATCTTATAAAATTTTCCTTTCAGTCAAAGCGGTACTTTTCTATCAGACAAAAGGCCCGAAGCATTCCACCACTTCAACCAACCAACTTGAATTCTACTATTAAAATCCCCATCTATATCACCATCGCTTTGAACAACAGACCCGAGATATCTAAATCATTCACACCTTTTAATAATTTGATCACCCAAAATTACACTTCTGTCACTAGAGCTACTACTACTAAAATTACATCCATGTACTCAGTTTTAGTTCTACTCAAATTGTAGTGTGCCTCAAACTTGTCTTCTGGCAGCTTTCCTCCATAATTCAAGTTTTTTTTGGGCTTTTTCTCTTATCTTATCCACAAGAAGGATATCATCAGCAAAAAACATACACCAAGGTACATCCTCCTGTCCAAGGTACATCCTCCTGTAATACATCCTCCTGTAAAGGTCCAGTAAAACCATCCATAACTAAAGCAAAAAGCTATGTGCTTAAAGTCGATCCCTCATATAATCCAACAAAAATGGCAAAATATTTGGTCAATTCTCCTTCAGTTCGAACTCCAAGTAACAGCTCTAGTACACATATCTTTAATGACTTGAATATAAGTCATATCAACACCTTTCTTCTCAAGAACTCTCCAAGGGATAGCTCTTGGAATCTTATCATAAGCATTTCTAAATCAATAAAAATCAAATGTAGATCGTACTTATTATCTCTTAACTTCTTCATCAAACCTCTCAATAAATGTATAGCTTCCATAGTAGACCTACCCGGCAAAAATCCAAATCATTGTAATACGCATCTTAACCTATGTTCAATTACCCTCTCCCATAATTTTAAAGTATGACACATCAATTTAATTTCTCTATAATTTGGGCACTCTTGTGCATCCCCTTTATTCTTAAAAATAGGGACCAAAATACTTCCTCCACTCCTCAGGCGTCCTTTTTGTTTTCAAAATAATATTAAAGAGCTTAGTAAGCCAAGAAACTCTCAAATCTCTTAAATATTTCCACACTTCAGTTGGGATATCATCAGGACCTACAGACTTTCCATCTTTGATTTTCTTTAAAGACACATCAACTTCTTTTTTACTAATGCGGCGATAAAAATGAAACGTTTTATTATTATTAACAAGATTATAATCACTAAGATCGATCATATTTTCAAAAACTTAATTAAAAAGTTTATCAAAATAACACACCCAGCTATGTTGAATATCTTTTTCTAAGAAAAGCACTTTTGATTTTCATTTTTAATACACTTTACTTGAATTAAATCTTTACTTTTTTTTCTCTATGTTTGGCTAGTTTATTCATATATTTTTCACCCTCCTTAGTATCTAATTTATTATAAAGATCACTAAAAGCATAATTTTTAGCGTCACAGATGAAATTTTAAATAAATTATAATCAAACAATTTTACGAAATGAAATCTTCAAATAATTACCATTACTTGATAGCTAGAGTTAAGCTGATGATAATGATGGTGGAAACATTGAATTCAAATACAAGGAGAACATGATCTGTAATGAAACAAATATTCTGCAAAGTTGCTGCCGGACAAGATAAAGCAAGCAAATTTTAAATGACAATAACATCAACAAGAAATAAGTAAAGTGTACATCAAAAAAACATCTTCATTTGTAGCTTACAATAAAATAAAATAAAATAAAGCATACCCTCTTTAATGAATTTAACTTATTTGTACAGTTTATGAGATGGCTATCCAAGTCAACGAATCTGCATTTACTTCTGTTAAGATTTGATGGTTCTTCTTCACTGGCCAACAGGTTCGACTCCAAGCCAGATTCTTGCCTTTCAATATCCTAGAACAACTTACCAAATAACGTATGTTAACAATAGAACCTAAGATTATCAGGTTGCAAGCAAGATAACATTAGTCTGGAAAATTTAACAAAGTAACAGTACTTCACAAGCTAGAAGAATACTGACACGACTGTAAGAAGATAGAGCGATGTCATGAGAAGGGATAAGCTTCAGTGGTGCGTGTGTGTGTGTTTACAAAGCCGAAAGGCTAATATATAAAAAAGAAAGAAGGACACAAATAGATTGTGTGGGAGGGCCAAGCATGGCACCTTACCTATACGATAACCACCACATGCAAATGGTTCCAAAAAAAGATAAAATACAGAAAATTATATGAGATACCTAAAGAAAAAACAAAAAGTGCCAAAATACGTAGTATCAGGTAACTAGAGAGCGACAAAATTTTGCATTGCCTCAGTCTTTAGTTCTAGGAAAGGTGTCAGCTAATAAATTGGTAAAATGAGTGTTATTGCGAGTAATAATCAATGTATCATCCAAAAAGTTCCCGAGCTCGAGTCAGCCTCCATTCTTCTTCCTCCTGGAATAGACATGACATTCCTCATCTGAAAATTGGCTCACTTAATCAGTGGATTAGTCTAAAATGTGTCAGACATGTGTAGGATGTTGACATTAGAAGCAACTGTTTGTAGTACCAGCTGATATTTTATTGGATCAAAGAAAGGTGAGTCTTCTTCAATAACAATGAGTGATATAAGCATGTTTGGATCTGTACATGTAGTATGGTGTTCTTCATCGGGAATGGCGGTGTTGGATAGAGGATCGGGTTGCACCTTCTCAGCAGGGATGGTAGGTGGTTGAACTTAGCGATATCAAGTCTTAGATGAGGATGCAAGCAATAGCAAAAAGTTAAACTGTGGTCAAACATACTACAATGAGAGCAATAAAAAGAATGTGGTTCTATTTCAACCTTTTGTCAATATCTGTTATGAGTGGTTTCAATCCATATCTCATCCGGAGCTGGTTGAGTGATATCTCTCTCAACTAACACACAAGCCACAGAGGGTCTGGTGATAGTAAGCGTAAGACTATCAACCTTGAGAGGTTTACCGTAAGCAGTTGCTAAGGAGTAGAGAATTTCCAAGTTCAACAGATGTAATTTTAACCCCAAAAACTTTATCCAAACAGGAATAATAGGTACTCCACTTTTGGATCAAAATCGACAGTCCACTTCAGAATTTTCATAAAACGGTTGTCGATCTTAATAACTTTTCGAGAAAAAATACGAGTGTAATCAGCAACGTAAGATAGCTGAATAAGTATATGTCGACCGTTAAGTAAGTCAATATTCCAACTGCTCAATAGCTTCATAGCATCAAAATATGTTCTTAAAGAAATTTCCCCACTATAGAAAAACGTCAAGAAGACGCGAGAGTACTGCTTTCAACCTCAGTAAGAATAAGAGCAGACTTCCTATTTTTTTACCAAGTTTTTTAATTAAAGTGTGATCACCATCACCTTCAAGAGCCTCGTGGAAGGTTTATAGAACATTGCAGGACTTGTCAATACGAAAATCAGGCTCCAAACCCGCAGACACAGCAACTCCATCTAAGTGCCCTAGCAGACGACGTAGCCAAAGTCACGATCAGGAAGAAGTCGTTGTGCCAAATTTGTACGAATGAGGAAACTGAGTTGTTCCGCAGAGAAGAAGAAAGTAACGATAGAAACAAAAAGTGTGGGAGGGAGTTATCGAGCTGGGTTAGTCGTGGCGCAGCTGTTAAGGTCAGATTCCCTTCAGCCTGCAACGAAGCACCGCAGAAGAAGAGCCATACGATGCGAGCTCTTCAGCTAAACGAAATGACGACAAAAATGCAGCCCGACAAAATTGCAAAGAAAGAAGCATACGAACCGAGCTCTTCAACCAGAAGAAGCCAACGACGACGGTGAAGCAAAGAAAATCATAGTACAACGCGAGAAATATTGTAGCAGACGCTAGGGTTCGCCATGAGGTGAAACCCTAGCAGAACGGAGATGACGGCACATCTGTTTATATATGTGTGCGTGTGTGTGTGTATACACATATATATATATATATATATGTGTGTATATACACACACACAGAATCAGAAGGCTGGCTCACGTGATCCTCGATCTGATTTGATGTTAGAACCGCAGTAGGAGGAAAGACAGTCGTTGTCACGGTGATAGGTTCCAGTGCATGTGAAGTGTGAATTTTCACCTCTACACCTGATGCTTCTTGAATAGGAGCTGTGAGGTTATCCTGATTTTTGGTTTGAACATTATCAGTTGTAGTATGGTCATGAGAAGGGATCTCAATGGCAGACACCTACTTCTGTCTTGTGGTGATTCCCTCATCAGATTTGTTGGGAGTGCGTTTAGGCATGTGGGGTGCACTAATAGCATGTTCCTGCTTTTGACTATTGATTCTCAACTGTGAGTGCAATCTGAAATATTTCTCCTGCGGGTGTCCAAACATCTTGTAGCAGTAAAGTTTTTGTTCCAGAATGGTTTTTTGTCAATA